ATATTGTACTGGTCCAACAATAAAAGACAATATTGAAATCCAGTCATATAACCGTGTTCACTTTTCATTCGTTGAACATTTATTGGTAAATAAACTGTGTCCTCTCAAGACGTATCCAAGGTTACTGGCTATATCCAAGATCACTGGCTATCCAGCTCAAAACATAAGGTACCATAACTACCGTTTCAACTAGTAGAACTGAAAGCGCCCCAAAGAGGGCTCACTTCCAAAAACTCATTAAAAAACAATGTTAAAGTCATTACACATATAATTAATAATGAATCAGACCTACTACAATATCCCAATGAAAAAACGAAATAGTAAAATTTTGCTTTAGAAGACCTAATAATACAATGTTTTGACTTCGGATCGGGGTATGGGAAATATGTGTTTTTAGTCACTTTTAGTTTTGCTATAAATGTTAAAACTGGCAGGACCTTAGTTAAATAGGCTACTTACCCTTTACTGTCGTTCAGTGGTGGCCCAAGAAGTCTGACACGGTGGGTCCAAACACGACCGACTAGACCCTCGGTCAAAGTCCCGGCAATAAACATCCCTGGGCTGAGAGGTTTTTTTTTTTTTTTAACTTTCCCAGCATCGAACTCGACTAAACCTTTACAGGAACATCCAAGTCTTCTATTAATATAATTGTGACGAAAAATGCATACAGCAACGCTGTAATTTGATTCCAAACATTCCATAGGTTCAGGGTCGTTTCGGCCCTTTTTGGGCTAGAAGACCGAAACGACCCGGATGAGAAGTGGTCGCGCTCTCTTGTTTGTAAGCATTTCGATTTCAGTTACGGTAACAAGTACAAGTACGCACTATGGTTTATTTGGGTTCTGCATTTTTAAAGATCTTTTTTGTGTGTGTGTGTGTTTTAGTATGATTTATTTTGTCTTTTTTTACGATCCTTGACGATACACAATAATTTTTCTTTTTTGTATTTTTCAGTATGATTATTATTTTAAGTTTACAATTGGTTTTGTTTCAGATATTTTAATTAGTTTGAGTATAATTTTACAGTATGTGGGTACAGTATTCAAAAACAATGTTCTTTTTTCTTGCAGTTCCCAGTAGTGAAACGTCAAATGTACAAGACAGTACAATTATATTATCAATTTCTAAATGATCCTTAAAGGCTTTTGTGTTTTGTTGCGGTATTTTAATTGTTATATCAAATATATCTGAATTTCATATGTTTGTTTTCGTGGCTAGTAATTTCATTTGTCAACAAAAAAATGACATTCTCAAAAACAAAAAAAATATTTCAGAACTAGGCCTATCTACGTTGTACCGTCAGCATTACTTCAACATGCAAACCTTCAAACAATATTTCATCATTATCATTATTTTAGAATTTACATCATCCTAATCCAAATCGCAAATATGGATCCATCGAGGGCGGATCCAGAGATGTCAAAAAAGGGTGGTGGGGGGAAGATCGAGCCTACAATGCGCCCGGGGCGTCCTTAGCCCCGTCACCCTTTTAGGAAGTTAAAAAGGGGGGGGGGGAATTGATCGCCCAAAACGCTCAGAGGTTACATTGAGCGTCTGTCTAGAAAACTAATGTTTCGCAGACCTTCCCTTAGGGCGGTGTTATTTCGATCGGTCCCATTTTCGGTTCCCCTGTCGGACATCTGGATCGCTCTTGCCGGCAGGGGCCCTGTCCATTTACGGTAAATTAAATATTAAAGCTTAAACAAAGTTGAATATTTTTTTTTTTAAATCGTAACCATAGACGAGGTGAACACACGCGTACACATTCACTGCCATGGCATGTGTTTGTACCTAAAAATAGCCAGTCTAATTTCATCATCTGACCTGCTTCACTCTTGCAGTAGTGCGCCCACACATTCCTGAAGGCGGCGTACAAAGGATGTCTGCTTCACCCTAAAGAGTACCGTGGTTAGTATAGTTAGTTTCCATGCAACAATTGGCCTTGTGATTGAAATTTTCGGCTTACTTAATGTCAAAAGAAGCCTGAAACAGCCATTAACATTGTAGGCCTATAAATTGTATTTAAACTATATTTTACTATTTCCATTTATTTTTGTATTTTATAAACATGCATAATCAAAATATGTATCGACAATGGAAATAAAACAAACAATAAGATACAAACCATGTGTCTGTTTCACCTTAACATAATTGTTGAAAACGTTTCTTTCCTCAAATTATACTGTAGTTAATCATTTCTTTAGTTAATTTCTATGCAATTAGTGATTTTGTCGGCCTTATGAATACAATAATATTTTTACTTTATTTTCATTATCACATCATTCAGTATATTTTAATTTATGTTATATAGGCCTATGTATTGTTATCAATAGAACAAAACTAGAGGGTTCACTAATTAGTCTTAAATAAAACAAAAAGACAGTAACTCCGAAAAGAGACAGAGACATTTTGAGATTCTACCTTTTTGTTTTATGACAAACTAATCCGCAAAATTAACTATAAGCCTACTTATTTTATAGATCTAAATTTTATTGAAGCATTTATAAACATGATCCAAATATATATCATATGGAAACGATAAAAAGGAAATGTGACTCCAAACCAATCTACTTGTAACATTTGCGTTGTTTCTGTAAAAAGAAAGATAACACCATTTGATAGTGCAATAAACTCTTTAATAATAATAATAATAATAATAATAATAATAATAATAATAATAATAATAATAATAATAATAATAAAATACTACTAAAAAGAATTGTTAATATCTGATAATGTTGCAGTATTAATATAGCCTAAG